GGGGGGGGAAGTGAGCCTGGGGTGGGATGCTGCTCCTCTGGGGGCTTATGCAGAGCAGGGATGAGGAGCTGAGCCAGGATGGAGTGGAGCTGTAGGGCAAGTTTGTCTGGTAGGGACAAACATGGAGCATGGAGCATGGCGGAGGCATGGCTGCAGCCATGGGAACTCCCACATCCCAAAGGATGGGGCCAAATCCACTTCTGAGCAAGAAGTCTGTGAGCAGAGTGTTTATTTTTCCTCGTGTCCCTGGGAAATTGCTCAGAGTGCCTCGGTTTCCTGAAAGGATGGGAATGTCTGCATGCACGGCTTTGCAAGCAACACCCAGGTCTGGCAGAGAAGGGTGGGAGGCGTTTGTGTTCACACTGCTGGTCTCCCTCAGGCCTGGGATTTGGAGGAATGTGGGCAGGCAGTGAACAGAAGGGAAAGGTCAGGGCTGGAGGGAGCAGGGGCTGCCTGGGACACAGAGCAGCAGCTCGGGAGGCAATGGCAGTGCTCCGCTCTGCCACCTGCACAGCCTCCAACAACAGCTCTGCCCCTTGCAGGAGAGCTTGGGGGTTTGCACGATGGGACGGGGGGCAGAAGGGCTCTGTGTGTGACGGTCACGTTGCTTCAAATGCAGCGCTGCCAACGAGAGCGTTGCGGTGGCACAGCGTTAATGCAGCGTGAGGACAGCGCTGCCCCAGAAAGGCTCCGTGCTTTAACAACACACAGCGGCTGTTGTGTGCAGCAGCCAGGGGAGAAGCTCTCTTCACTAAATCATTCTGGACCCGGTCCAGCTCTGCCAGATTCCTCCTTTCTCGGCAGGGCTGCGCAGACCAAGATTTCCTCTTCCATGTTCAGAGCTCAGCTCAGCCCGGGGCAGAGTTCGTGCATTGCAGACACTCAGGGTGCCGGGGTCCCTCCCCAGGCGGGCGGTGGGACCGAAGGGGACGGCAAAGCGGGGCACAGCGGGATGAGCCGTCTGGTTGGGTGCAGCGCCCAGCAAGCAGCCCGTGGGGGCGATCTGCTGCTCGGCGGCGCTGCCAGGGCCGGGCTGCAACCTGCCGCCCCCGCTACGTTTGCTGCAACCCCCGAAACCCCTCCCCATTTCCTCCTCCAAAGCCGGCACCTCGGCCGTGTGCTGCTCCCCAGGGCTGGGACACACTCGGTCCCGATGTGCTGATGCCACTTCGTTGATCTCTCGCAGACCATCCTGGTTGGAGACAGCGGTGTGGGGAAGACGTCTCTGCTGGTCCAGTTTGACCAGGGCAAGTTCATTCCAGGCTCCTTCTCTGCCACCGTGGGCATTGGGTTTACGGTAAGGACCAAACCCTTGGTGCTGGGCTGGGTAACACTGCACCGTCAGGAAACGACTCCGTTGGTGTCAGTGATGCTAAGCGTGGAGAACTGGGGGGGGTTGTGTCACTGTGAGCAGAGCTCAGCCTGCTGTGTGCTGCTGGAGTTGTGCTGGGGGCTGCTGGGGGTGGAGGGAGGCTTAATGCTGTGAAACCTGCTGTGTTGCAATGCCCGTTGATCCCAGTGATGCTGGGCCCATTGCTCCCAGCAGCTGCTCACAGAGTGGTCCTGCAGCAGCTGGCCGTGCCCTGGTGAGCAGCTCCAGGCCCTTGGAAGCCCAGGCAGATGGCAGCAGTGCTGGCAGTCGCTCTCAGCAGCCATCCAGAACTATTTGCAGTGCTGCTGCGGGGCTGGCAGCAGGGCTGGCACACGGCCCCAGACCTGGGAAACAGAGACCCAAGTTCAGGACCTCACGTGCAGCCCCATGTGGCGGTGTGGCAAGGCAGGCTGGCTCCTCTGTTCAGGCCAAGGAAGCAGGGGTAGACACAGGGCCGTACCCCCGAGAGGCAGAGGGCTCAGCCGACCTCCTCAACTCATTTGTCTCACGAAAAACGACAGCACACGCAGTGCTGCTCAGCCGGGCTCTCGCTCCTTGCTTGGGACGCTCAGAGCAGCAGCTCCGGCGGCACGCGGCCGGCTCAGCTCACAGCAGCGCTGCCAGAGGAGCGTGGTGCTCCCCAAAGGCGGCCCGCTGAGCCCGGTTCCACCCAGCCCTGCAGCACGCAGTCCCGTTCCCTGTCCCCATCCAGTCCCATCCACGGCCTGCTGTAGGCTGCGGCCGGGCGGTGTGGGGATGTTGGGTGAGCCCTGCAGCGCAGCTCCGCGTGTCTCAGCTCCGGGCAGCCCCCCAGCAGCACAGCGCACGGAACTTCTGCGTCCTCCCCTCTCGGCCCGAGCAGTTTCGGGACTGGAAATACAGGTTCCATCTCTCGGCGTTTCCCGAGGGGCCGAGGAAGGGTTGGCTGCGGCTGGAGGCGGTGCCGCTGCGGGCGTATCTCTGCCATCGGACCCCCCGCGCCGTGCCCGCCCCCGGCTGGGGGAGCAGCGCGGGACGCGGCTCCGGGGGCGCAAACGGGGGTGTCTGATCCCGGCGGGGCCGATGGATTCGCGCTGGGATCGGCCCAGTATGGGGTCGGAAGGACCGCTGTGGAGATGGGTTGGGGGTCCTGGGGCAAATCAATCGGAGGTGCTGATGGGCACCGCCTGCCGTGCCCCCAGCAGCCTTAACGCGTGGGCTCGGATGGGGCTTTGCGGAGAGAGATGTTCGGGTAACGCACCGTGCCCAGCCACCCCTGCGGGACCTGTCCTATTCCCACGCTTGGCCTTTTCCCAGATTGTGCGTGAGATGAAGGTGATCCAAAGGTCCGTGGAGGATGCTGGGGGCTGTGTGAGGGTCCCGCGGGGGGACAGGAGCCCCAGCACTAATCTTGTGCAAGACGCAGGCGCAGCACCTCGCCGCAGCCTGTGGCTTCCTGCTAACGGCCGCCGCTGGCTTCCTCTGCGCCTCGGGGCTAAGGGGGGGCCCGCAGTGCTGGAGTGCCCCCACCCTCGGAGTGGGCTTCGGGATGAGCAGGGGCAGCCCGTACCCTGCAAGCCGCAGCCCCCACTGATGTTGCAGCATCCCTGTGGGGCTGGGGACTGCTCAGCTGGGGGTGAGCGGCGTCTTCTCCCCATTGGCGCTCTGGGACAGGGATCCGGCTGCACCTCCTCTTCCTCATCCCGCGTAGGGCGGTAACAGGGCCGGAGCGCAGCCCGGCAGGAGGCACTGCCCGAGGTGGAGGAAGAGGAGGAGGAGGAGGAGGGAGGGCCGGGACTCCGCAGATCCGCTCAGACACACCATGAGCGAAGCAGGGGGCAACGGGATCCCCCCAGCGTCCCTGCAGGACTATGAGCTGGCTGGAAAGGTGGGGGGCAATGAGGGGATGAAGGCCGGGGGGGACCTGGGGCCATTCGCTTCATCTTGCTGCACTGGGAAGGAACAGGGCTGGAGGGGGGAGGAGTGGCAGGGGGCAAGAGGAGCAGCATCTCACTGCTGTGAGGGAAAGGGCTGCAGTGGATGAGCAGAGGGGAGCGCAGCATCGGGGCAGAGCCTAGAGCTGTGCTGGGTGGAGTGAGGCAGTGCCTGGCTGGGGCCTGTTTGCTTTACAGGAGGGGACAAGGCACCATGTTTGCTTTGGTGTCTGTGGCAGGCAGGGCCCTGGGAATCCAGCAAGGTTTGTCCAAGCAGGGCACCGGCACAGGGCTGCCCCATGTAACCCCATACCCACGGGCAGTTCAAGGCTGGAGATGCTCCAGAGACGGGCAGGAGGCACTTCTCAGTGCTGCGTCCCCAGCTGATCCCTTCCCCTCTCCACTGTCTGCTCCTCTCCATCGGGATGCGCTGTGGGGCTGCACCCTGGGTGCCCTACAGGAGGACGTGCCCTGGGGACAGAAGGACGCAGGGTCAGGGCAGAGGGCCGCTCTGCTGACACCTCACCCTGCGCCCGTCTTGCAGGTGATGTTACTCGGAGACTCAGGCGTGGGGAAAACCTGCTTCCTGCTCCAGTTCAAAGACGGGGCCTTTCTCTCCGGGACGTTCATAGCCACCGTGGGCATAGATTTCCGGGTGAGAGCACGGCAGCCTGCCCCAGTTCTGGAGGTGTGAGCCAGAATTCCAAGTTGAGGAGTTGTTCTCAGCAGATCCTGCTTGATGAGGCCATCAGATCTCGTCCAACAGCCCCCCCTCCTCAGACCCCCCCCCTCCCCCCCGTCTCGTTCTGTTTGCTGACTTCAGCTGATGCAGCGTTGTAACATGCAGGCAGGAAGAGCGGTCCGCACCACGCGGGCTGAGAGCCGGGGGGGGGAGCAGTCCCGTGCCCATTTTCTGAGCTATCCCTCAACTGTTGTCATCCCCTTCTTGCCTGCATTTCCACTTCAAACAGTTCTGGGCAACCAAATTGTTTATACTCATCACTGGAAGTGCCATTCTTTAAAAGATCTTGAAAATACATTTTGGGCAAGTTGCCTTTTCCCTTGCACCACACTGGCCTCTAGAAGGAAGTCCCTGTGCTTCTGCATTCACAGCAGCAATTGCTTCACCCCCAGAGCTGCCTTCCTCACTCATTGCCCAGCCTGTGCTGGGGGTGGTGGGATCAGGATTTGGAGCAGGAGCAGCCCCTGAGGCGCAGTGCTTCCTGAGCAAAGCTTTACATGGGGCAACCATCATAAGAGCAAACAAACATACAAATAAATACACATTTGTTTGCAGTTCATGCAAGACCTCGCATTTGCCCAACCCTGCAGGGTTTCCCACAGCCAGGGTGAGGGCTGCAGGCGTGTGGCTGCTGCTGCTGGGCAGGTCGGAGTGCCTTGGGGTTTGCCGTGTCATCAGCTGGCTCACCAGTGGAACAGGGAGCTCTTGGGAGATGAGCAAGATCTGAAGCAAGTTGGGCAGCTCAGCTCCATGCCCTGAGAAGGGAATGCAGAGCCCTGCACTGGGCAGCTCCAGTCCGGGATGCACGTCGTGCTGACAAGCTCCTGTCCTTCTCTCCTGCAGAACAAGGTGGTGGATGTGGATGGGGTGAAGGTGAAGCTGCAGGTGAGTTTTGGGAGTGGATGAGCAATTCCCAGCCGCGCTGCCCAGCCCACACCGGGCTGAGCCATGGGACGTCCCCTCCCACCCTCACTGGGGCGTCTCCCAGCAGATCTGGGACACAGCAGGACAGGAGCGGTTCCGCAGTGTGACCCACGCCTACTACAGGGATGCCCAAGGTGGGTTTGGGGTCGGTGGGGCTGACCCCCATACGTGTGCTGCCCTGCGGCATCCGTGCCCTCTGCCCCTTCCCTTCCAGCCCTACTCCTGCTCTACGACATCACCAGCAAAATGTCCTTCGACAACATCCGCGTGAGTGTCCCCACTGCCTGGCACGAGAGTGTCTGTCCCTGGGGTTGGGGACGTCTGGGTTGTGTGGGGCGAAGGTTTCACCTCAACGCAGTTCTTGCTGTCCCACAGGCCTGGCTGACAGAGATCCACGAGTATGCCCAGAAGGACGTGGTTATCATGCTGCTGGGCAATAAGGTGCATGCGTGCCCTGGTCCTGCCTCACCTCCCGCCGTCCCTTCCCTGCTATGCTGTCCCCACTGCCGGACGGGGCCCTGGGGTTCCCTGCCGGGCTTTCCCAGGCACGGAGGTGACCCCAAAGTGCTGGAGGGCTGAGGGCGGCCGCGTTCCCGGCAGCCAGTGGAGGGCAGCACGGCGCTGAGCGCCGGGTGTGGGAGGTTCCTAGTGAGGATGCTCCCAGTCTGGGATGCTGCTGCACGGGTTGTCCAGCTAGATCCCGGATGCACGTCCCCAGATCTCAGATGCCCAACCGTGTCCCACATTGTCTCCTGGGGTCTCAAACGCTGCCATGTACACAGGGTCCAACTGGGAGCTGAGTTTTCCCCTGGTTGCCTCCTGGAATTCAGAATGATGCTTGGTACCAGATGTCCCTCTGGGTACTGAATGCTCCCTATCCCAGATGCCACCAGGTGTCAGATGCTCAATGAGCTCGGCATTCTCCTCTGGGCACTGCATGTTCCTGGCTCCCTGAAGCCAGCTCCTGGAGTTCCTGGAAGCCCCCCCATGCTGACAGGACACAGTGGTGATGCTGTCCCTCTCTCACAGGCCGACGTGAGCAGTGAGAGAATGGTGAGGACAGAGGATGGAGCCTCACTGGCCAGGGTGAGCTGAACCTGAACCTAATCTGGCCACATCCCCTGCTGCACGCCATGGTGCCCCAGACACTGGCACACGGCTTGGGGACTTCATGGCTGTGGCACCTCTGTGCTCCATGCTCTGTGTGGCACAGGCAGCACAGCACTGGGGCACAGCAGGGAGGGGATGCAGGAAGGGTGCAGTTCAAAGTGGTGTGTTAGGGCTGGATACTAATGGGCCCGTTCTGCCCTCGCAGGAATATGGGGTGCCCTTCATGGAGACGAGCGCCAAGACCGGCATGAATGTGGAGCTGGCCTTCCTGGCCATCGCCCGGTGAGTGCAGGGTGGGTGCAGAGCAAAGGCTGTCCCCACAGGGTGACACGTCCCCACTGTCCCCAGGGAGCTGAAGCAGAGAGCAATGCAGCTGCCAGACGAGCCCCGCTTCCAGATCCACGACTACATCGAGGCGCAGCAGAAGAGATCCGGCTGCTGCGCCTTCGTTTGATGGGGACAGGAGCAACGCCCCGGGAACGGCGGGCTGGGAGGAGCAGGGCCGGATCCTGCCTACGATGGAACAGAGGGTCACGGCTCTGCTCCTGCGGGGCTCTGAGCAGGATTGGATCCCGTTGCCGTGTGGGGCTGTGCCAGGATCACCCCGAGTGCCCCAACCACGCTGTCGGCATCAGCCCAGCCGATCACCGGAGGTCACGATGATGCCACCGCTGCCCCAGCAGGACGCAGGGTGCAGGATGCAGACCCGGCGACTGGCTCCTCCCCTGCTGTGCACTCCGTGCTGCACTCCTCGGCCACACAGGCCCCGATCCGCCCCGCTGCCCTCTGCAGAGCCGCTCGCTGAGCGGCGCCCCTCACCACCACGTGCTGCGGTGTCCCTGCCTGTCCGCCCCGCTGCAGTTGGCACCACAACATGCAGACAGCCCCGGAGCACCCGGTGATCGCCGAGGGCACTTCCAGTACACGCAGCACTTTGGAAAAGCTTTGCTTTCCCCCTCTTGCAGCTGAAGCTTTTCTATTGTTATTTACTTCCCTTTGAGGGGAAAGCTTTTTTCTTTCCGGATGGGGCTGAAGCGGCCCACGGGTCGCACCCTCAGGCGCTGTGCTGCACAGGGCGCGGAGACAAGGAATATTCGGGTGTGCTGCTCAAGATGCCAAGGGCAGCTGCAGAGGGCACAACTCTGATGCACTTGGGGTCAATCGGGCACATCCATCCCCACGAGTCCCCTCCCTGCCCCGCAGCCCCCTTCACTCCTGCGCTCCCCTTGGATCTTTCTTTGCAAGTGTACAGATTAAAGCTGGATATTTTCAAGGCTTTGCATCTGCCTGGTTTTTCTCTGCGTGAGAAATCCCTGCCCCGGGCCCTCCACGTGGGAGGCTGTACAGCACGGCAGGGAGCGGGATGTGGGGCATGCAGCGGGGGAAGAGCCCACAGCCCCCTCCTCCTCCCAGCGCTTGGCTGCGCATTTCAGACAGTCCAAAGGTGAGAGGGGAAGAATAAACACGGCCTGTTAAATTAAAACCAACCTCCTCCCCTGCTGCTCTCATAGTGCGGAGTCCAGCATTCCCCAAATAACTCTGTCTTCCCACCAATGGCATTGCTGCTGCCTCTCGGCTGATGTCTGCAAAAAAATGCTGGAGAGCTTCAGCACAAGCAGCCGCTGGCTCTGCGCCGTTTCCCACCCCTCAGCCCGGGCTCTCCTAGCGCTGCAGGAGCTCTGCAGGCTCCTGCCAGGATTCGGCGGTGCTCTGCCGGGCGCAGATGGAGTCCGAGTGGGACTCAAAAGCAGCGCTGTTTCCTTTTCTGCTGCGTTCGTTCCTTATCGCAGCCCCACGCTGCAACCACCCCTATCGGGGACGGGGTTTGTTTCCTGAATGAGAGGAGCGTTCCCCAAAAGCGCACCCTCCCTCCCCTCTCCGAACGAAACGGAAGCGTTTCTCTGCAGCCCAAGGGGCCGCGCCGGGCTGACGGCTGCGCGATGCCACGGACTCGCCCTGGTTTTCTCCGCAAGCGTCTGCTGCCGCCGTGGGATTCGTCTCGGCTGCGTTTCTCAGGGCTGAGCGGCAGCGGGGTGAATGCTCAGCGGAGCGGAGGCAGCGGCTGACCCCCCCTCACCCCCCCGCTCCGCCCGCCGCTTCCCAGTCCCCTGCCACGTGCTGCGGTCGGGGCTCGCTATGGATGCCCCCGCTGCCCCCCGCTCGGTTCGGACGCGGCTCATCGCGACGCCAACCGCCCCGAAGCCCTCCGGCCGGCGGGAAAAAACCGAAGGCAGCACCGCCCTCCCCGCTCGCAGCGCCCGACCCCGCAGCCCCGCGCTTCGCACTGCCGTGACCTCCCGTGACCTCCCGCCACTTCTGCTTGCGGACTGAGCCGCAGTCCCGGGGTTTCCCCGGCTCCCGGCCCGCGCCAGCAGCCCCAGCGGCGCCCGCAGTCGGTGCCGGGCCGGGCCGGGGCCGCTCGGAGCGGTCGGGCCGCGCTCCCGCTTCCGCCGCGCAGCGATCCCGGAGCGCTCGGCCCCCCGCGCTGCTTCCCCACCCGCGCTCGGCTCTCCCATCCGCTCGGTGCGTTTTGTAGCTCCCTGCACGCTTTCAGCACCGGCTTTGGAGAAACCGCGAGGCGCGGCAGCGGCGTTAGCGATGCTGGGCGGGGCGGGGGGACGCGGGGCGACCCGCGGGAACGTTGCGGCTCCGCTGCCCCCGCGGTGCCCGCGCCCTCGGGGCCGCGTATCCAAAACCCCGCCCACCCTCTATTTGCATAACAACGCGTCAAGCCGTCTGTTATTTGCATAACCCCGCCCTGTTCTGCTCAGGGCCCGCCCCTTCCCTCTCTAATTGGACGGCGGCTCCTCGGGCCCCGCCTCGCGCTCTAAAAGCCGCCGCCGGGCGCGGGCGGCCTCAGACGGAGGGGTGCGGGCTGGGAGGCGACGCCGCCATGAGCAGCGCTCCGCCGGGCCCCGCCGCGCCGCGGCTGTGCTGCCTGGAGAAGGGCCCGGACGGGTACGGCTTCCACTTGCACGGCGAGAAAGGCAAGCCGGGCCAGTTCATCCGGCTGGTGGAGGCGGGCTCGCCGGCCGAGCGCTCGGGGCTGCGTGCCGGGGACCGGCTGCTGGAGGTGGACGGAGCGAACGTGGAGCGGGAGAGCCACCAGCAGGTGGTGGAACGGATCCGTGCCGCCCCCGGGGCTGTGCGCCTGCTCGTGGTGCAGCCCCAACCCGAGGAGCAGCCGCCCAAGACCCACAGTGACCCCGACGGCGAAGCGCAGCGGGAGGTGCCGGCGGCGGAACCCCCGGCGGCGGAGCGGAGCGGAGAACCCGAGGAGCGGGTGAGTGCGGGGCGGTACGGGCGGCCTTTGCTGTCCTGTAGGGCCGGGCGGTCCCGGGACGGTGCCTCCGGTGCTCTCCTCCCTGCTCCAGTCGCAGCACGTCGGGTCGTGCCCCTCCTGCTCCGTCTTTGTGTTGCAGGAGGAGCGAAACGGGGTCAGGCGCGCGGGGGGGACGAGGGGGGGAGGCTGATGGCGACTCGTGGGCGCGGGGTGCTGCCCGGTCCGTCCCCTGTGTCATCATCTGTGCTTTGGGAGCTCGGTTTGGTTTTGCTCCGGGAGTTCTGAGTTCCAGCCCCAGCCCTGCTGCGTCTTCACCTCCTGAGAGCAGGTGCCGGGTTGCCCCGAGGCTTTTGGCGTTAACCGCCTCTAAAATGCAAAAAGCGTTTGGCAAGGGGAGGTGTTGTGCTGTGGCTGCTCCTCGTGTCCTGAGCTGCGCGGCCTCAGCCGCACTATGGGGAAGGGGGGCACAGAGCCCTTCGGTGCGGACCGACACGGTTTCAGAATGTCGGCCTGAAGCAGCACGTAGGAGTCAGCGGTTGCACAAACAGAGTGATGCAGAGGGGTGAGGAATGGAGACCCAGCTGACCTTTCCTGCCCGCAGCAGTTTCGAAGGGACGCTTGGGGCTGCCGCGGATAATGCCGCTTTTTGTTTGCTCGGTGAAAACAAGTATTTGTTGTTGCGACCGAGGCGCTTCCTGGGAAGCTGTGACACAGAGCCGTGCTCGGCTCCTGGAACCCGCCCGTAGTGCCGACGTGGTGGCACTGCTGCGGGGTTGGTGCTGAGTTCCGGATGGACTTTGGTGCTGAGCTGCCCTCCTGCAGGGTGAGGTGTTGCTGTCACCCGATGCTGACTCTTCCCTTGCTGTAGGACGCGTGAAAGCATCGCTCCCGTGGGCCGTCGGTGGGGTCTGGCGGCCACAGCGGTGCTCGTCGCCCCATCTGGGGTCACAAGGCAGGGTGCGCTGCATGGGAACGAGCAGGCTCTGCTCCCCCGGCATCCTCCATGTGCCACAGTGCCGGCGTCCCCTCCGGCCACCGAGTCCTTCTGTGCTGTGCGCAGGTCGCTCCGTGAGCTGGAAGAATTCATGGGGCCGCGGCTGATGCGCCGGGGGAGCGCCCTGCCCTGCCGCGGGGCCGCGCAGCTCCGTGTGCGGGTGGGACGGTTACCGTGCGGTTACCGCTGACAGTTTGTCGGTACGGGAGCAGGAAGTCGGTGGCGCTGCTGACATGGGCTGATACTGCTGCTCACCCGCCTGCCGCCCGGGTGGTTTCTCAACAGGTAGCCGGAAGCCGTGGGGCTGGGGCTGGTTGTTCCCAGCCTGGGGAAACCCGGAGCGGCCGTGCCAGGACAGCGCGCTGGGAGCGGTGCCACCGAGCGGAGGGAATTGTGCCCCTGGGCTGCGCCCTTCCTCCTCTTTGTGGGGATTCTCCCAGGATCGGTGCCGGCAGGGAGCACAGGAGGTCTGTGTGTGTCAGAGTCCTGTTTGCTTTGTGGGGCAGGGCTCGCCTTTATTTGCATGCAGGCTTGGAGACGCGTGCTGCCAGCGGCCGGCTGTCAGCCTTCCTGCTCTGTGCTGCTCTGCTCCGAGCGTTTAACGCCTCAGGCAAGATACGACCCCCCCAAACCTGGCAGCGTCGCCACTGCTCCCTGCCCTGCAGCTGGATGCCACCCCGGCTGGAAGTGGGGAGCTTTGGAGCACCCATGAGCGCACACCCCCTCCCCCCCATAGCAGGAGTGGTGTTAGAGCCCTGGCAGTGGCACCAGGTGGCTGAACGCAACTTCAGCCCCGCTGCTGGAGGGCTTTGCACCGCACGGGACCGTCCCCTGCGTTTGACTGTGGGTGGCGGCAGCCTGCTGTGTTTCCTTCCCCCCCCCTCGCCCCACACTGTTTCCGGAGGCTTCAGCTGCATGCGAGTGCTTTGAGACAGCTCCGTGCAGCTGCCTGGTGCTGCTTCCACCACGGCACGGCTCCTGCTGCCCAGTGCCAGCTGTGCCCGGTGCACTGTAGTGCTCAGATGCTGAATGCAGTGCTTGCTCCCCTGCAAAACCCATCCGAGCCCCCCGGGTGTGGCTTGGAGTGTCGTGGGGGCAGCTGGGTGCATTGTGCAGGGAGTTGAACTGGGAAATGAATTAAATTTCTTCTCGAGCCAACTGTGCTTGGGAGCAGGAGTGGGCTGCATGAAAAGCAGCTCCAGCCCGGCGCTACGTGACAGGGATGCCGCAAGAGGCTGCTTTGCATCCCCTTTGTATGGGGCCCCGGTGCGTGTGCCAGATTTCAGGACCCGTGTGAATTTGCTGGCCTGGCTGTCCTCGCAGCCCATGTTTCTTTCTGAGCAAAGCTCAGAAGGTGGCTGCTGTGGGCTGCCTGCAGCTTGTTGCTGCTCACAGGGCTGCGGGGAGCTTCCTGCAAGCTGGGGCTGCGGCTGCTGCTCTGCAGGTGTCGTTACTGCGCTGGGAGCTGCGGGCACTGCGGGTGTCTCACTATCCCTCAGGTGGGGGGGATCTTCTCAGAACCCTCGCCCCAGGGCAGCCTGTTCCTGTGCATGGAAGGCCTCGGTCACTCTGCACAAGGGACCTCTGCTTGGAGGTGCTCCTGCAGCCACGGATGGAACCCAATGTGCTGCAGCTCTGCTCCCTCCAGGCTCTGCCAGCTCTGCTTTTTGGGCTCGGCTTTGGGATTAAGTACACCACGAACCACCTGGACCACGCAGCAGCCATGCTGGTGTGTTGCAGTCCCATCTCATGTCCCATGCAGAGGGCAGGGGATGCACTGGGCAGCTGCCGGCCAGCACGTGGGCACAGCTGGCTGCTGGCACATGCTGTTGTCACCTTTGGTCCCCAGCTGGGTGTTGGTGAGCTGTGCTAACCTGGTGAGCCTTGACCCCACAGTACTGTGCAACAGGGATGGGGCTGATAACAGCTGTGGGGCTGTCACACAGGCTGTGCTTATCAGGCTGCTGCCAATGTGTCACCCTTGCCAGCGCCTTGT